TATTTATTTTATAAAAGCTCAATGTTTCGTTGTTATTCTGAGTGCACACGAATAAACGTAGAGTCTTTACAGATACAAAAGATGCATTACTCTTATCTGTATGACCAAAAATGACGAAGTATTTTAAGAGCAAACGATCGCACCGCCGCCTCCATCTGTCATGCTGTAGCCCAAGCGCGCTACTGTTCAGCTTCCACACTCCGAACACGTGAACAGCGCACTTTTTTCTAGGCTAACATTAGATTGAGCACCATGTAAAGTTGCTACTACATATTTCAGATGATAAGCCATATTTGAGGTCGATGAATGTTAGGTGAGCATATGGATGTCCTGCCCGATGTACTCGACTAATAAAATTTTGGTCGACCAAGCCTCTTCTCGTCGACTAACTGTTAGTCGACTATTAGGGGGCAGGCCTAAAAAAAGCATTTAAAGGTCCCATATTGTCAAAACTGAAATTTCCTGGCTTTTTTCACGATAACTGAGGTCTAGGGGCTATTTAACTACCATAGAAGTTTCAAAACAGTCAGTCCACAGTAAAATGCACACAGCCTGCATAAAGTAGCTGTGATTTTTCACGAACAAGTGTGCGCTGCAAACGCGAGCATTTTTGACGATCGTCTCTGTCCAGTCTGCTCGTTATATCTCGTTTAACCACAGTGGCAGTGGCAGCAGATATGCAATCAAATTTCTAATTTGAGGCTGTATTACGTCGATTCTGGCACCCAACATCACAACAAGATGATATTTTAAGCTCCTTATGTAGCCGAATCTGCACTGGTTTGAATAGGCCGCCTCCAGTTTGCCCTTTGTTTTGCTGCCTCCAGCTAGCGCTGTGACGTCAGCTGACCCTAGTTACCTGTGGTTGGCCTGGCCGTCAGAAATACACAGAAAACAACAGGCCAATCAGAAGAGAGGCTCATGAATATTAATTAGACAGGCCAAAATCGACCTGTTCTCAGCAGAGTTCCTGAGAGAGGAGCTGTAAAAATATATTGAGATAGTTTTTGGTACTTATACCGCAAATATATATTCTTAAGGACATCAAAACCTAAAATAAAACTCCAGAAAGGTGTAAAATATGTGACCTTTAAAGAAAGTTTTTGTCAGTGCCCTTTTTATTCTTAATTTTGACATTAATTTTCATTTTTACACCAGATATATATATCGGCTCAAAATATCGGTTATCAGACTACTTGATCTGTAATAATCGGCATCTGCCCTGAAAAATACATATCAGTCGACCCCTACACTAAACAACTTGGAGAATGTAAGAGAATGTAAAAGCCCATAAATGTGTCTTTCATATCTCTAGCTCTCCAGCTGTGAGCAGTTTTGCTGAGGAGGAAAGGCTGTGCTCTTTCTTGAGAAATATGGAGCAGGAAAGGACAGCTCTCGGTGAGTTAATTCAGACTCATGCAAAACTGTCCCCCCACCTCAGTGTGCCTGAGAGACAAGCAGCGGAAATACAGCAAAACAATTTGCAAAGCCAGTGGAGGGTGCTGGAGAAGGATGCAGAGATTGCTCTTTACATGGCTAATGCTCATGCTAAAGAAATCAGCAGCCTCATTCAAGAGGTCGGTGCCTTAAAAGACCATCTCGAGAACATTCAGAAGACCTTGGATGCATCGAAATCCTCACCAGTTTTATGGGATGGCAAGAGAGCTCAAGAAATTATGAATTTAAATGCTGATCTCATTTCCACCCATCAGCAGTACCTCTACCTTCAGCAGACCTCTGAGGCACTTTCCCAGGAATTCCAATTCAATGCAGAGATATTCAGCATAGAGCAGGATCTTCAGTATATAAAAGATCAGCTGAATCAAATGGGTGAACAGTTAGCAGCTTCAACCCCTAGCAGCAGCAACTCAACGTTAAGTAAAATTGTTAAGGTGATGACAGATGCTCTGGCTTGGGCCAAGCAGACAGAATGTGATGTCAAAGGACGACAGAAAAAGGTGTCTTTGCTTCCAGAAGAAGTTCATCGACAGATTAAAGATTTAAAGAAATTGCAGTCTGAGATGAACTCGAAGCAAACCCAGTTGAAGTCTTTGGTTGAGGAAGTCACTGAGCTGATTTGTGATCTAGATGAAGCTGATGTTTCGATGGTGACCTCATCCTTGAAGGTCCTAGAGAATTTGTCCAAATCAACAGCAGGAAAACTGGCTGAGGCAGTTCGCGGGATGGAGTCAGGACTTCAGACCCAGGAGAAGATGTCAGAGCAGATAGCAGATGTTGATTCCTGGGTGGTTGGTCATCTGCAGAGGGAAGCTTTGAGGAGAGAAGATTATCAAAGTTTGAGTGTGGCAGACCTGGATCGCAGGTTGAGGCAGATCCAGGACACTCTTGGAGAGGCAGAAAAGCACTCCGCTGTCACTGAAGCCCTTCTGATGAAAAGCAGAGACATTGCATCCGAGCTAAGTGTCACAGAGAGTACTAAGCTCTATGAGAAACTCACCAACCTTCAAGAGGACATCAGAAGTATTATTATCTATGAGAAGGCATGTTGCCAGAACGTTATGGATGTTATACAGAGCCAAGAATCCTCTCAGAGGAAGGTGTCATCTCTCGAGAACAGCCTGAGACAAATGTTAGTTGATGTAAAAAGACACAGGTTTCCTGTAACCAAGGATACCCTCTCTGTCATTGAACCCTTCAAACAGATGCTTGTGGAGCGCAAATCTCAGGTTGAGCAAGTCAGTCCTTGTTCAGAGGACAAGAGAAGAGAGCTGTTATGTGTTATTACTGAACTGTACCACAAAATTATTGATTTGGATCTCAAATCACAAGCTCATGAAAGGTACTTGAGCCTCAGTCGGTGCACTGAAGATGTTAAGGAAGAAATGGAGGCTCAGATCCCAAGGACCAAAGATGAGAGCATCAACAAAGAGGAACGCTACAGAGCCTGTCAGGCCCTTCTGATCCAGATCTCTTTAGTAAAACACTTGTGTGAGGAAACAATGGATGAACTGCAGGAAATCATAGGAGATCTATATCCATCTCAGCTCTCTGCTGAACAAACAAGACTCAAACAAATACTGGAAAGTCTTAAAACCTCAGAAATGGCAGTGAACAATAATCTTCAGATATTGGAATGGGATCTGCTAAAACATATTCATTATCCATCAGAAAAAAGAGCACTTCAGCAATTCCTCAAAGAAACCAATGAGGAGCTGGAAAAGCCTTGTAGTATTGAACCAAAAGAGGCAGTGATTGAAAAACAACTAAGAAAGTGCCTTGTACTCAGAAAGAATGTAGGATCTAGAATGCGAGTGCTTGAGTTTCTTGAAAAAAAAATTGGCGCTCAACCTCCACAGGACTCCAAACAGCTTACTTGCTTGAAGGATATGGTTTTGGAAAAGTGTGATCAACGAATGGTGAGTTTAATCTGTTTCATCTTTGACACACAGTTTCATTGATCTATTCCTTTGCAATATAGTTGGTGCAAATGTTTAGAAACATCATATACAGAATCTTTAATGAAAATATACATTTAAGCAGATAAATTCAAGGTAGATTTCTGCTGTCTTTTCAGGTGAGCCTAACTAAAGCTAAAGAACTGCTGAGGAACTACACCAAAGCAGTGACCGATACCATTAGGTTCCTCCGAAGAGCCACGTTGGCCCTCCTTCCCTCAATCTGCTCTGCTAGAAGCTGCTCAGAAAGACTAATAGATGCACGACATGCTTTACTGACTCTAGACACAGAGTTCCAGTCACATGTTTCACAGCTTCAAGCTCAAACCCCACAAGATCCCTGCTTCAAGCCACAGAAGATTGAATTTCTACACACAGAGGTTCTAGGCGAGCTCCTGGTCAGGCTATCGACCCTTAAGGCCCAGGCTCAAATTAATGTAGAATCTTTGAAGAGGTACATAATGTAGTATGAAACCTTATTATACTGTATAAGAACTTTTTCCTAAGAGTAAATGGTCATAATCCCTAATCAAGATACGTAATTACTGTTAACCACAATACACTCAGTATGCTTGTCAAATCTCAAATCTTTATGAAACATTATCATGTCTTGTCATCAAATTACAAATACCCCATGTCAAAATTAACTAATTTCTTGTCCATAACAAGGTGTGTTGAGTGGCAGAAACATTCTCGTAAGTGCTACGAGGAGCTTTGCCAGCAAGTGAGAGACTTAGAAACATTGCTATCACAGTGTGCTTCCAAAAAAATTACTTCACACAAAGACTGCAAAGACCAGCAACAGAAACTCAAGGTAAAGTCAAAATAAAAGCCTTTCCGGTAGAAAGACTAGCATTTGTTAGACTACCATTACCTCCCCTTATAATCTAAAGATCTTTTTCATTTATCTGTGTTTTGCCAGCTGATGCAACGAGATACATATGAATTTGAGGCTAGTATATTTAAACATATTCTTCATCTTTTTAGGCTCTAGTGGAAGAGGTTGCCATGCTTCCTGGAAAACTGGAGAATCTGAGAGAGTGGTGTTCATTGTATGGGTGCAGAGCCAACAGGGAGGATGCCGTGAGCGCTGTCTGGGGTCAGGTGGCAAGACTGCAGCGCTGTGGCAGTGACCTGCAGACACGCTCAGAACAAATGGAAGCAGAGTGGAGCAGTGTCACAAGGAGTGTAAGTGCCTTGACTATAACTGGTGCACCAACATGCATGTGAAATAACAATGAAACTCTTGTTTTGGTATGCTTACTCTAAATAAATCATTACACTACACTCTTAAAAATAAAAGTGCTTCACGATGCCATAGAAGAACCTTTTTTGTCTAAATGGTTCCATAAGAACCTTTAACATCTGAAGAACCTTTCTGTTTCACAAAAGGTTCTTTGTGGCGAAAGAAGGTTCTTCAGATTATAAAAAGGTAAGAAATAGATAGTTCTTTAAAGAACCATTGACTGAATGGTTATTTATGGCACCAAAAATGGTTCTTCTATGGCATCGCTGTGAAGAATCTTTTAAGTACCTTTATTTTTAAGTGTATAACAGACTGTGCAGATAAGAAGAACTGAGCTTGTTTTCCTTTGCTGTCATTCTGCAGGTGGAGCAGGCAGCCACTGTGTTGGAGCAGGTGGATGCAGAACTTCCAGATAGCAGCAGAGAGAATCTGACTGGTGATGAGCTACAGGAACTACTGCTCTTCTGGTCCCAGTACCAGGACAGACTGGACTGTGAACACAGAGCTCTCTCTGCTTTGGAATTAAGAGCTGCAAGGGTGCTTGGTGTTCCCCCCCACCTGGAACAGGCCCCATCCTTTGAGCTGTGCCAAGAGCTTCAAGCCTTGCAAGAGCGTTACCATAGGTTAGGCACCTACTTAGCCTACTGCTAATTGTCTTTTTTTTTCTTTTCTTTTTTGACTTTTCTTCTTAGTATCTGAATTATGTTTTGTTTTTTTTAAACATGAATGTCTTTTGCCCAATATTTTCTATTGTGAACTCCATGTCCCAGTGGTCCACACGTTAATTTCAAACCAGTGGGCTTACAGACTAAAGTAGGTCAACACTGGATGCCAATATCCCATCCCAGAAAGGCTAAACCGCACACAGACTAAGCTAAATATCTGGATAATATTTAAATTTACATGCATGAAAGTTTATTTTATGTTGAACGAGAACATACTGATGTAAGGATTCTAGGACGTTTAATAGTTTTTTTTTTTGCAGTATGGACTTGGACTGAAAGTTTAACATGACTTTTAAATTGTATGTCCTGCAGTCTAAAGGAACGGAGCTCTCAGGGTTTGAGGGCAGTAAGAACAGAGGTGGAGGAGAGGGAACGAGTGCAGGAGCAGCTGGAGGGAGTCAGAGAATGGCTGGAATCTGCAGTCTCTCTCCTCGCTGTACTGGAGCACGAGCCCAGCAAGAAGCAACTACAGGTTTGTTAAGCTGGTTTTTGTCCACTTTAGATGTTTTTTTGACTTGAGTTAAATAATTGGATTCTAACTTTGCACAGGCAAGATTTGTTACAGTAAGTAAATTTATTGCACCAGCATGAGAATTACTAAAGCTGATGAGATGCAGATGAAAGGGAGGGATTTGCCATTGACACAATGTTCTGTTTGTCCCTGACTGCGGCCAGCAAACTTCATTTTCTCTGCCCTCACTCTTCATGATGTACTGTATGAATAATACCTCTCACCCATAAATAATACTCCACCTTTTCATGTTGGGGAGTAACGTGTTAACTAAATTGACTACATTTTTCATTAGGCATTACAAATCATCTGCTTTCAAATCAGTGTAAGTTTTTTCATTTTGGTGTAGCAGCAAAGGTTCCTGTGTTTTGTTCGTTTGTGAAACATTTAATTCTGTGGTTCTTTACTGCGTTTTCCACTAAATTTAATAAATTAGGGTTTCCTAGTTTGATTAGTTGCTTGCTTTTAGTTTCTACTATCTAAAATCTGAATTATTTTTGTGCCAGATAAATGTTTGGGTATTTTTTGTAATGTAGATAGGATTTTGAAAGAGTAGACTGCCAGATTCAGTGTGCCTATGACTTTACAGATCTCATACCTTACTGGAAAAGCAAAGCAAATGCACATACAAAAGTACAGATGCATACTGAAACGATATTTCACAAATTAAGACATTTTAAAAATTAATAAACCCGAATAGACACTGACAGATTAATGAATCCTGCAGTGTTTGTTTCTGAGCAGCAGAGATACTGTGGGTAATGGCATACAGTGCTGTTTAGTCTAGGTTTTATTGTTCAGTATTGGTTGTCCCAACCAGGCTCTTCCAAGTGACATGCAATTTGTAGTAATGGAAACCAAGCAATCAACAAAATATCCTGTTGTTTATAGCTTACCACGACTGTCGCTGGTTAAGACAAGCTTTTATTTGCTTGCTCTTTATGTCTATTTAGAACACTGTGTGACTGTTTACTGTGCTGAATAGGCTGTTCCGTCCAATCAGTTCAAACACACACACTCTTAAAGATTCAAAGACTTTTAAACAGTTATTCTCTCTCTCTATTCTCCATATTATACTGCCAAAGCAGTAAAGCAGAACGGGTAAGAATGAGCATAAAATATTATGAAGAATAGCAGAAGTCATAACTGTTAATAAAACCTAAAACAGCTGCCAAATAGAATGATCTGAACGGATAATCTTTCTCTCTCTCTCTCTCTAATGCATGGTCCATTCTGACTCTGAATCCCTCTGGGTTTTCGGTAATTTTGGGATCTTGTTTATGCAGCTTTTCTTCCCATCTTGAATGACTCATTATAATATAAAAAGGGGGTAGAAACTTTATCTCACTGGTGAGGTGAGAAGGGTTGAGATAGATAGAGAGAGATTTTTGAGTGGATTGTTCTGGTTCTGTTATCTTAAAGCTTGAGGGACTACGAGCACCATCAGTGAATGGGTCAACCAGCAAGACTAGTGCTATATGAAAGACTGATTTGCATTGAATATCACATAATATACGAATATCACATTGTGCATCGTTTCCATTTGCTTTCTGGTGTTCCAATAAATGTAAGTGTTTTCTTTATTATAACTTTTTTGATATTTTGTATCCAGTAGAATCTCAAAACAGAAATTCTTCCACTGTAAAATGTATAACCTATTTTAACTAAAGTAAAACTTTACTTGGTAAAATATCTGCTGATATTTGTCATGAAAGAAAAATGGAAGAGTCTGGAGGGAATTGTTATTGTCTGAAGCGTTGTTTTTAATGCCTGGATCTGTAATTTACAATTATATGAATACAACTCTAATATAATTATGTTTACCAATCATTTGAAACTGTCTTTTTAAAAAAAAGCTTATGTATTTTTTTTATTATACCCTAAAAAGAATTAAACAATAATATTTTATTACAAGTACTAACAATATTTTCATATTGTTTAATAATAAATATGTTGTTGTCACAAAGATGAGTAAATTTCAGAAAATTGAACATTTTAGGCTTTGACAAGGTTAGTTCAGGTAATCAGAAAAACATTTCTAAAAACTTGGCACTTGTTTGAAACTGTGTTTTTCTTTCCCATTTTTTCAGGGACACCATAAAATACCTTATATCTCTCTGTAATAAATATGATTGTATTTTGACCACGAACAACTTCAAATTTCAGATGATGTCTCTTTCTCTATACTCACTGACTGCCCTGCAAATTACCCATGCTTGTGTAATTTGGCAAACCAGTCTAATTTAGCTACCTTTGCTGTTCTTGTTTATGACACTTCGATGAGCTTTGGTTTGAAAAAAAAAAACTCTTGTACCAAGAGGTACTTTTGAAATTAAATGGATAAAATGGAAAATGGTTATTTGTGCAGTCCATAGATGTACTCTCTTCTAATGTAGCCTAATTGATGAGCAATGTCGCTTTTTGCTAAACAGGAGGTTCACTCACAGCTGTGTACCCAGAAGGCCGTTCTGCAGCGTATTTCGGAAAGCTTGAAGATGATGTACTCTGAAAAAAATACATCAATTCCAGAGGAGATAGAGGGACTATTACAGGAAGTCTCACAGTCATTACAGGAAGTGGAGGAACAGGTTTGATGCATTCTTTGAATGGTTCCCAACTTATTTTGTTTCAGCACCCAGATTTTACATTCATCGAAACATACCTCTAAAAGTTTTTTCTTATTTTAATATGGACATTTGGCAAATGTTTGTGAGCGCTGACAAGAGCACCAGAATGTAAAATACTCTTGTCTGTTATTGAATTCAAATACAACTAAATGTGCTTTGCGCACCTTTTAAACATCACACTCTCTACTGTTTTATGTCATGTTTAATGAATTAAGAGAGGAGAACATCTAACTCTAGAACAGGTAGATCCCTGCATCAGAGACACATACTCAACACACACACACTCTCTTTTACAGGTGTAAGAGGTGTTGCATCATTCATATACAAACTCTAACACACACATGTAGTAGTTAGGTAAGCTCTATGGGTTCATTAATTAAGGTCTGAGCCTCTTGCAGTTCTTGTTACTAGAGTTTTGTCTCATAGACACTCAATGTGTCCATGTGTTTAGTGCTTTTTAAAAGTAATATCAGTAATTCTGTTTATTTTAATTGACATACCTGTTTTTATGTCCATTTCACTCACTCACAGGTGAAGACCGCTGTGGAGAAAAGTGGCCCACTTCACAGGCTGGGTGCTAAAATCTCGGAGATTAAAGCAGGTCTGGGATCAGTTCAGAGCTGGTTAGAGCAGAAGAGCCTGAACTTCAGTGAAGCTGAGAGCACACAGAAGGTCAGACATAAGTTTAGCTCAGTGTAAGACTTGTTTCATGCATTTTGTATTGTAAATGTACATTATCTTACTATTGGTGCCCATATTAACAGGTTACAGCGTAGCAGACATAATGCTACAAGTCGTTTCAGGGAAAGCTCAAAATAAACCTGCCTTTCTTTAAGTTCTGTGACAGTGTTTTAAATGTTTTAAATTAGTTTTTACACAACTGTGAAGTCTAGACGCGGATTAAAAAAGTAATGGAAGATTTATTATGTGTTTTATTGTTCCTTTGCAGCGAGTGTGGGATGAGTTGGATGGTTTACATACTCGTCTGACAGCGGTCAAGGTGGAGTTACAGGATGTGAGTGAAATGCATCCAGATGAGACCCGTCTGTTATTAGACAACCTGGCCAACACTCATCAGACCCACACACGCCTCACCAAACAGGCCGAACAGAGGACCGCCTTCCTCAGCAAGGTCACCTGCTCAGATTCCCATGATGCTTTGCTGTACTTGGATAAATATTTAAAGAATGGTTAATCTAAAATTGAGCAAAGAAGTTAAACATGATAGAGAAAACAGGAGTTTCAGTGAATTCTAACTAATTTATGACTTAAATTGTGTGTTATCTAAAGTGTGTTATCTAAACTGTCTCTGTGTAGGTCCGTGACTGGCTGCAGGAGCAGGAGGAGATGGTGAAGGGGTCACAGAGCTGGATCTCAGAGGCTCAGTCTTGGCTTACAACACCCTGCACATACACCACTGCCAGATGCCTGGACAGTCATGTGAATGCACTGCAGGTATTACTCTCAGAAACCTCATTATCATTTAGCTGACTGCTGAAGATACCTGCATCATCCCACTGTTTATCATTTTCGTGTTTTAGATGGTTCTGGATGATTCTGCTCAGATGAGACGGACTTTGCAGGGTTTCGGCAGTGTGCTGACAGAGATGGGAAGTGTGTTTGATGTCAGTCCATTAGAGGAGCAGCTCTCAAATGCTGATCGACGTGTGGCAGACATGCAGCACAACCTGCTGGGGCCTCTCTCTCAGCTAGAGGATGCAGCAGCAGTGAGCATACCAGCGTCTAATAAGATAAATGACTATATATTATAGACTTGTATTGTTTTTATATAAAGCTTATAATAATTACTTTTATGAGATATATATATATCATATCTGTGTGTGTGTGTGTGTGTGTGTGTGTGTGTGTGTGTGTTCTATT